TGTGTGTGTGTGTGTGTGTGTGTGTGTGTGTGTGTATTATACTGGGGACAGGACCCAGGGCCCCATGCGTAGTAGGTAAATGCTTTCAACATACCTTACATTGTGTTATGGTGTTATTTCTTACGTAGGCTTAATAAGCTGTAATAATTAGAACAGCAGAGCTTTGTTCCTAGGGTCACCAAGACATGGGACTATAGTGGTCTTTTACACTTAAGATAGAAATCCTATGTTTTGGAGAGTAGAGATAGTCTTTGAAATGGTGATTGGACTGCGTAACCTACATGCTGTCTCCCAACTTACCAAATGATTTATGGATTAGTGTTTTCTGCATTAAATTTGATAATGGAGATATTAGGGTGTGGCTTCAGATTATCGGAGTATAAGATAACTAGTTCAACATTTGGGCCTCATTTCGCTGACAGTTTAATGTGAGAGTTTTGTTGATTCCTGTCAACACCTCTAGTTTTAAGTTTTAATAGTTTAGCAGATTCAAAGAAACAGATACAGTATCTCTCACCTTGAAAGGTAGCGACACTCCATGCAGGTCTATTCATGTTTGTTAATGTGAGTGAGCCCAAATTCACTATTAGAAGTAGTGGCTATGTCTGCATCAGAATTTAGTATATCTAAGATACATACAATTATTACTAACTTTAAGTAAAGAGAACGGATATTGATTCTTTCCTGTTGGAAAACTTAATTTTGAGTTTGATATGTATATTTTCCAGAGAACTGGGCAAGAATGTAATTGAAATAAAAATGTTACAAATGTTAAAATATTCGTACTTTTCTCAGTCTTTTTAATGAACAGCCTCTTTTCCACGGTTTACTATTGAGCCTAGCAACAATGTTATGTGATCCATACTCCTATTCTGCAGGTGCCTACAGCTCCGAGATGTGAGGTGGTCTGTCAGGTGACCCTGTGTGACACACAAAACCAGAATTCCAGACCCAGAGTTAGAATTGCAAACTCAGTGTTTCATTCAGAGCGTCCCCAAACTTGGTATTGTTTGAAAATCATCTGAGTGGCTTTTTTGGAGTGACAGATGACCCTTAGATCTTGTCCATGTCCTGAATATGTATTAAAGCTGCAGGCATTCTTTCTAGGATCAGTCTACATCAGCACTTCCAAAATGTCGAAGCACCCGAGGGTCTTGTCCCAGTGCAGGGTCTGATTCGGGAGGCCTGGGCCAGCAGCTGGCACTGAGGTGTCTGACAGACTCCCAGGTGACTTCATTGCTGCAAGTGCCCTGCACCCGTACTGTGAGCAGCAGTGATCTGCACTTGGGGATATTTGATGTATGATTTGAAATTTTTAGTTACAATTCCTGTAAAGGCTGTTATCCCTATGAAGATTATCATCCACTGACATTTCTGTAAGTGGTATTAAAACATAGTATCTCTTATGTGCCTTCGAATTTTTACTTGACTTTTTCCTTCATATTAAAGAGTAGCAGATTGAATATTTACTAAGCTTTAAATCATTCCAGGTATGGATTTTAGTCATATTGTTAATTGATTTTAGAAATCATAAGAGTCCAGGTGAAGCCTTTTGTAGCTGTGACATTGCCAAATTTCTTGTTGAGTTAGGAGCTATGTTTGGGGGGGGGGTTGGCAGAAACGGGGATTGAACTCAGGCCCTTGCGCTTGCCAGGGAATATATTTGGTTTTGCTAGTTCTCTGACAAGCTTTTACAAGAACAGCCTGGTAACATCCATGTATTAGTCCTTTCCCTTCAAGAAAGCAAATACATTAGTTCTAGTCTTTAATCTAGTTTATTAGTCTCAGTATTACTCTAGTCTTTAACCTCAGTATATTCTAAAAGAACTAAGAGCCATGTTCAAAATGCATATATGTGGTGGAGAGGAACATGATCTTCACAGCTACGTGTCTGCGCTTTTCAGGTTCCCCAGAGCCACCCCTGCCGTCCGTTATGTCTCCTAGCAGGGTGGCAGCTAGCCGACTGGCTCCACAAGGAGGCCATTTAATTGTTCCCACAGGTACTCACCGCGCTGACTAGATGAAGCCCTTGCTACTGCTGCTGCTGCTGCTGCTGCTGCTGCTGCTGCTGCTGCTGCTGCTGCTGCTGCTGCTGCTGCTCTAACTCCCTCAGTTTCATAATCACTTGCTTTGTATTCCTAGGTGTGTGCCCTCTCTGTTTAGGTGGCTGGCTGCTTTTTTTTTTTTTTTTTAAGCAAAGGAAATAATCTTTAGTCATGGCCTACCTTTCTGGCTTCTCAAAGTAATTAGGCACTATCTCTTAACTTATCTTAAGGTTAAAACCAGTATAATACGATTTATTTTAAATCATCTTTCCTTGCTCTGGGCAATTCAGATTCACCTGTTTGATCCTAACCACCCAGCTTTGCAGCTCTGCCCTGGTTTTGGTTGTTGTTGTTTTGTTTTGTTTTATGTTTTAAGATGCTTCAACAGTTGAGAATGGGTCAGTTGGAAAAGATTGTGTCTTGTTATTTTCAACCTCAGTTTATAAGTAATTTACAGAGTGTGACAAAATACCATGTAATTTACCAGTCATACCCAGTGAAACTACTTGGGAAAAAGAACAATCTATGTTTAGTTTGTTCTACATTTGAATGTTGCTGGAATATAAAAATGGAAAACTTGAACTCCACATTGTCTTTTCATATGGAATGTTAGTTTTTTGTCCTTGAGAATTTTATAAATTCTTAAATTAGTTTAATTTTTATGTGTAGTACTCAATTTTTATTCTGTGTTGAAGCTGTGTTGAAAGCTGACTATTTCTTAAATAAATAAGAAATTTTACTGACCCTAAGTTTTTCTTTTTTTGTTCTTTCTCTTTTTTTATGTATTTGGTACAGGGTCTCACTACACAGCTTGGACTTGAAGTGATCCTTCTGTTTTCAGCCAGCCTCCCCAGTGCTGGGATTACAGGTGTGCACCACCACACCCAGGCTCAGTGGCTGGCTCAGCACTCCCAGGGGCGGGGCCAGTGCTGCAGTACAGGGGATCCAACCCTGGTCCCTGTGCTTGCCTAAGCAGGTGCTTAGTCCACTGAGCTATCTCACCGGGCCTTGACCATAATTTTAAAAACTACTTTTTGAAATTTTTTTGTCCTTCTTTGCTCTTTTAAAAATACCATAAAGTTCATATCCCAAATCATTAATATTATAAATGTTCATTATATGTTTCTTATGCTATAGAAAACATCTCACTATTAGTACCTACACTGCCAGGGAGTTGCTCTTTTTATAATATAAAACCTCAGGGCCAGGGAGATGGCTCAGTGGAATAAGCACTTCCCTGGCAAGCGCAAGGGCCTGAGTTCAATCCCCAGTTCTGCCAAAAAAAAAAAAAAAAAAAAA